CTAGCACCAGGGCGCCCCACGTCCGCTCCCTGAGGGCATAGGTTTCTATACGGCATTCCTGAACTCTTTGCACTAATGAGCCCGGGCCTTTTTCCCGTCTCGCCGCTACGCATATGGGTCTTTTTCCGCTCTCCTGCTCCCCACGGTTAGTCCCTTTGGACGTCCGTGACAACTGAGTGACAATTTGAAACGCTTGCAGCATCCTTTTACTGTCATAGGCCCCCAGAGACAATACCTCCTGGTATTACAGTATGTCCCCTCAAACATTTTGTAGTATCTCTGGAAACATAAACATTAGAGGCCTGGTTTAAACCTTAAATGGAAGCTAACCCCTTGGATTTTAAGTCAGATTTCTTATATATCTTACTGTCTCCATTCACCAGACATAAATATTCAGAATATGTTTTTCTGGCCTTAAAGATCATGTTTTCAAATTGTGGCCCTGTCAGAAAGCTGAAAATGGTTGAATAAATTGATTTATGTGTCTATTAGTTTGGATAAAAAATGGAGACAAATTGAACAAATACAAACAAAAATCTGCATGTTTCTTGTGAAGACAGAACCTGGGATGAAAATATCTAAAAATATTAAACATTAATAAAAAGGTACAATAGCTGTTGCTATTACTATAGAAAGCCCCTAGACATGGTTAGAGAGGATTTTTATTGTTACTAGGCAGTAAAACAATCTGACAGGCCTGCAGATGTGATGTGATGACCAGTGATAAGAATCTGATTGATCATTACCTGATATGTTAACAATCAAGAGAAATAAAATAGTCTGAGTTTCACAGAGGAAATTCCTCCCCATACTTTCCCCTTTCCCCTAAATCCCATTCTGCAATTTACCTCACTGGATCAATAAAGTATCTATCTCTCTAAGCCATTGAATGGTTAAAAACACAATGACTGACATCAATATGAACCAATTAGACCAGCGTTTTTGAGGCTTTGAAAATTATATTTATAAAATAGTTTGAAAATTAGACCTAAGTGCCAGTAGCTCTCAGTTGTCTCCAAACCTGGAGATGGATATAATATTTTATTTGTGGTTTATTGTGGTCATTTCTTCACCTTATACATTGTAGGGGTTTTGTGAATTTACTGGGATAATTGATTAATTGTAGCAGCAATCAAGAGGTGGTTCGTAATGGCTTTTAGAAAATCGATCGATCAGTGACGCACAGACACGGATTCAATAAATTAGATACATTTATTAATACATAAATTGTGCGTAAAACATATAACAGTCTACCTGGATACAGGTGGCAGATCATACTGTGAGGGTTATCAAAGTGCAAGGTATATAATCATGAAGAGATGCAAAACACAAAGAGATACAAAGAATATGCTTCAGAATACCGTTCACCTATACTATCCTTAATCAGTCTACATTAGCTACTCATTACTCCTGTGAATTGAATTGATATTAACTTGTGTTGAGGTAACAATTGAATTCTTGAGATGCAATGTAGAGCATTGGGTTTACTTATCCGGATATGGATTCATATTTCCCGGCACGGGCATCAAAGACCAGCTAGCAGCTGTATCCAATTGCAGTGGCATTCAATAGGTGTTGTCCCGGCATCCTCTGGCTCCTTGCCATCCAGTCGAGGCGCAGGTCGGAGTTGGACGGATTAGGAGGAGAGATTTCTGCTGTGGCGATGCACTGACAGTGTCTCTCTCAGGGACCTACTAGTAGTCCAGCTGACTAGTCTCTATGCACCGAGGGTTACCGCGGGTCGGAGCAAGTAGGGGGAAGAAACTCGGTTAACTTCCGGTATAGTGCTGTTGCTGAATAAAAACATATTGAGGTTGTCGACAAGAGTCCAAACGTATACTCCAGTGATCAAGCGAAGAGTCCATGTTGGCATTGGCTAGCAATTTACATATGGGCATTCCCTGGGCCAACACTTTGGTGAAACAAGGTTCCAGTGCCTATACAGACAACACAGGCTGTCAAGTGATTGTCTCTGAGGGTGTGAAAAGTGGACAGAGAAGCATAGTTTCTGAGCTGTGCAGTGTTTTTTAAATTAAGAACCAAGACAGGTGGTGATTGGTCAAATGTTTAGCGGGCATTTCAGACCCACGTGGGGTTACCATGCCCTACAGGTTCCTGATTGGTTGGTCAAGGTGAGAGATAAGTCACAATGACCTCTGACATCTAGGACAGCAATCCAGATGTTCTCAAGAATCTCACAGACAGATAGGTGCCAGAAATGACCTTAGATCATGATAGCCAAGCATGGCTAGAAGCATCCCCACTTGGGATCTGCTCCTTATCTGAGAGAAAACACCCTAAATCAGAACTGCATGAATAGCTTCTCTGTGGCTGCACCATAGAGATGAGAAAGAGAGATGGGGTCTCATTTAGGAAAGCACAGCAACACTTAATTCTGTCTTATTAATAAGCATTGCCGCTACAACATGATCATTTGCTTTTGCGATTGTATTTTGCTGGGTTATTTATAAATTATTGACAGAATTTTGTACTTTGCTGAACAGCATCATCAGGTAAATTGTGTTATTATAATCAATTGCTTTGCTGTATTTTGGATTGAAAAATGGCTCTGTGAAGCTCCGGTTGTCTTGTTTCTTTTGATATAAGGCCTGTTGTGAAGTTACAAGTAATAGGTTTATTCCATGCAGAAAAGAGAAGAAAGAAAACATAACGTTTTGGTTGTGGAGCCTTCTTCAGGTGTGAGAAAGACAGGGCAGACAGCAAAGATTAAATAGCATAGGAGAACAAAAGCTGGGAGAGTGAAGGATGTGGGAGCAAGGGAGAGGAAGGAGGCCACTCAGGTGGTGCGAGGTGGAGAGAGGCAAAGGTGTGAAGTCGAAACCTGCATGCAAATAGAGAAGATTACATAAAAACAAGTCTATCATTGAGAGAAGGGGGAAGGTGTGAACCAAGTTTCAGGATTATTTTTGTTTCTTATATCTTTCTGCTATGGGAGTCAAGAAACCCTTTTTTTGAGATCGCAGACGGAGAGATCAGTGTGATCATGGCCATCTGAGGTGAAATGAGAACCTATGGGCTTGGAGAAATCTTTGATCTTCACAGCTCTAACATGATCTCTGAAGATGGCTCAGAGTCTCTTTCCGGTTTCCCCAATGTAGACAGCTGTGCATTTCCTTTAAGAGATACAGTAAATGAGGTTGCTGGAGGTACAAGGGGTCACCTGGGTGATACGGAATTGTCCTAAGGGCCTTGAATGAGTGTGGTGTTAGAGATGTACTAACAGGTGATGCAGCAAGTTCTGTGGCAGGGGAAAGTATCTGGTGTGGATGATTGTTGAGGGCGGTCGATGGAGCTGTGAACAAGAAGGTTACGCAGATTAGGTGGTCGGCGATATGAAATGATGGGGTGGTTAAAAAAAAGGGTACTGATGGAGGGTTTGCCCTGTAAAATGGAGTAGTTGTTAATAATGGTCCTGGGGATAGAAAGTGTGTTAGAGTGGTAGGGAAGCACCAAAGGAATGCGGTTGTGAAACTGGGAGTTCCCGGTCGAGTTGATGAGCCGAGGGCTGTTTTTGGCCCAGGCGAGGGCTCTATCAATAACATGGTTGGGGTATCCTCTGTTGATGAAATAGGAGTGCATTTTGAGTGCTTAGTTCTGGAAATCCATGTCATCACTGCAGAGTCTTCATAGCCGAAGGAACTTTGTAAAAGGGAGAGAGTTTTTAGTGTGTTTGGGGTGAAAAGAGCTGTATAAGGGACAGCTGTGTGAATCCATGGGTTTGTAATAGACTGAAGTAGAGAGTTGGGGATGGTAAATGGATAGGTTTATGTCTAGAAATGGAAAAGTAGCGGACGATATGTTAACTGTATATTTGAGGGTGTAAGTTGGTGAAGTGATACAGGAGGTGCTCCAACTGGTCATTAGAGCATGTGGCAGGACCAACGCAATCATTGATGTATCTCTTGTAGAGGTCAGGGACAAACATATTGGCAGAGCTGGGTCAGATTTTGGTGCTCACGGCAACTTCACTAACCTGCTGGTAAAAAAAGGTTATTGAATGAGAAGGCATTTGTGTGAGTACCAATTCTGCAAGACATACAGTATAAGGGTGTGGGTGGATTGAGCACTGTGTGTTTGTCCAGCGTATGCTTGAGTGCTGTAGAGAGATGTGATATCCATTGTAAAAATGTAGCATTCTGGACCCTGGGACTGGAAAATGTTAAAAAGTTAGAGGGCGTGGTTAGTGTCCTTGATATATGAAGGTAGCCTTTCAACCAGCACTCTCATCAGGCTGTCGCGAAAGGCCGAAATATGAGTGGTCGGACAGTTGCATGCTGAGATGATGGGGCATTCAGGGGTGTCAGGTTTGTGGATTTTGGGGAGGAGGTAAAATTGGGACATCTGAGGAGCTGGTTCGCCTCCTGGAGGAGTTCCTTGCTGCTGATAAGAAGGGAGATGGTGGATACCACTTTTATATGGAAGTCAGTGGCAGGATCCTGTTGGAGAGGAGGGTAGGTAGGGGAAGTGTCAATTACTTGTCTGGAGGCTTCACTGACTGTTGTGAAGTTTTCATATTTTGTTGGAGAATATTTATTGAATCTGCTGTCTGTATATTTTGTATTTATGATTTTTATTATATTTATATTATATTTTATTATACCTTTCTATGGTGATCTTCTACTGAAATGTTTGTCCATTTTGTTCGAAGGCATAAGTTAATGCTGAGGTATCTTTATTTTGAAGTAAGGAAGCTATCCTTGAAACGTCTTTAATATGTAGGGAAGAACAAATTATGTTAATGATGAGTAATACCTACAGTAATTAGCTTAAAAAGTAAACGTGGTGCATTAGCTACTAAAGTATTTCCTGAGTTTTTTCATTTCATAGTTTACCTTTAATTTTAGCAAAGAAGTTCAAAATGTTATAAATAAGTTATCTTCTGGTTGGAATATTTAATATCTGTGAATAATATCTATATATATATTTGTATTTCCATGCATCTCAGAACATCTCAGAACTTTCCGACAGACTTCAATGTACATTCAAGTACAGACGTCTTTTGGACTGAAGATGCAAATTCAGGTGTCTCCTTTAATGCAGCTATACCTAACATTACCTGAAAAACTCAAAGGGACAACAAAAGGTATGCTTATGTATAGTTTGCACATGAAAGATTATCAAAAGTGTCAAAATGTTGTTAAAAAGTTGTAACTGTTTATTTAATTTCATTTATTTTATTTATAAAATGGTTGTTTATTTCTGTTACTTTTTATTGAGTATACTTTTTTTTCTGCAGATAAAAAGACACTATCATCATTAAGAAATCACTTATCACTCTTTTATTTAAAAACACAAACTGCATTAATATTTTAATAAAATTAAACCAATATTGTAATTAACATCTCAGAAATACATATTAAACATATGGTAAATGTTGTATCTGTTGCTAATTTAATATATAAAAGATATCTAAATAATTCTAGATAAAACATATATTCATATTTTTCCACGTTTATTTTATCAGGTCTATGTGGGAACTACAACGATGACATTAGAGATGAATTTACTTCAAGCAGCGGTATCGTAGAAAATTCTGTTGATGAGTTTGCTAATTCCTGGATGGCAAGAACCTGTGAAGACAAGATACCAAAGATTTGCACAAATACACAAAATGGTAATATCACTCTGCATTTGCAGGAATCAATAAACATGATTGATTTTTCAGTTCATCATATGATTTACTTAAAAATGTAGGATGTTTAGTATTTGTTTGCAGGAAGTATTGAAGTGCTTAACCCCAAACCCAAAATAAAGAGGCACATAATATGGGTACATATATATCCTCAAATTTATAATTGTTGATTTGTTGAAAGATAGGAATCTATTTGATTGGTGACATTTTTTTATCTAGTTAAAACATAAGAGTTTTACAAAATGTAAAATATTACCTTTTTATCCTTTTTTTGTAGTAGCAGTTTATTTAATTTCAATAAGGACAGAGAACTAAGGTAAAATGTCTGTTGTTCTGTACATAAACAGGTTTCCAACTTCTGGGAGGTAAACAGAAATTGCACTGGAGCATTTTCTCTGCAGTGATGTGAATATTTTACAGTGATGTGATAATTAAAAATTGCAACAGTAAATTGTGATAATAATTTGTAGTATCATACAAATCTAAATCTCATTTAGATTCTAAATATACAACATACAAGTTTATTGATATAACACCAAAATATGCATAAAAAATAAATGTAATACATTGGTGAAAAGATATGCTGAGATATGAAAGGCTGATCATTCACTTAGTGATCACAAGGAGAAGAGTAAAACGTGCTTCAGCCTAACTTGTAGATGTTAGTCTCATATAATTACATCACATTCATATTCTCAGACATGAGTAAATATGCATTTACTATCACGAACTAAACATCAAACGTGTTTGGAATAATAGTTTAACTTTACAGAAATATAATGTAAATAAAAAAAGTTTAAACTTCCTGCTGAAGTTGGGGCTGGGCTGGGTTGGGCCATGAACTTGGCAGCTGCTGGATGTCACGGATGTCGGATGGGACAAACCTTAGAATGGCAGGAGAGCGAAAAGACCCTATGCGTAGCAGCGAGACGGGGGTTAACCCGGGCTCAGCTGTTCAGGGAATGCCGTATAGAAACCTATGTCCTTAGGTAGTGGATGTGGGGCGACCTGGTGCTAGGCAGGTTTCAGGCCATCCGAGCGCCAATGCTAAACGAAGGCAGACTGAAAGACCCGGAAATATATACTGTAGCCCCAGAGAGAGAGAAACACCGGAAGGAAAGCAGAGAACCGGAAATGAGAGACAGGACAGAGAAGGAGTGCCCTCTGGCTACTGAGGGCATGACACTGGCTCTGTGCAGAAAGTGTCCCAGTGCACGTAGAAGAGAGAAGAGAGCTTTGTCTACCATGAGGGCAGCTCTGCAAGGAAGTAGGGTCACAATGACTTCTGTTTTTAAATGTAGTATTTGAAGCAGTCTGTGACAGCTGTCTTATTGGAGTACAGCTGCAAGGTAGTCAGGTGGGAGACCTCAGTTTGTACTGGCTATACAGTAGCTTGGTGCTGAATATACTTGTATATTCGGAATGTGGATAAAAACAGTCCAATTTTCTTATTTAGTTGATTAGGCAAAAACAACAAGTGGGTCTGAAAAACACAAACTTTTTGTTTCAGAAAGAATTTTTCATGTGTAGAATTCTGTACTTTGGTAACACACCCTCTTGGCCTGGCATCTTAGAGAAACATTTAAATCCTGATTCAGACTGTTGACGTTCACATGTTTGTATATTCAATTTAGTTGGAGAAAGAAGAGCTGATGAGTTAACTAATGAAATATGAGTTGGGTGCTAGCGCTTAAAGTGCAACATCACAGCTGGTGATTGCTTGAGGGTGTTATCAGTGTTAGTCCTGGTACCCACCCTGCAGGTCCCACATTGGATGATCTTCCTTTGGGTGATGAACCTTGAGCCTATTGTTTTTGGGAGAAACAGACTATAGATTGACTACAGATTCAATAGAGTCCATCTGCACTGTATTTCATTAGATTACACAGCTTCTTGATTCCTCTTATCAGAGGAGCCTTTTCTCTAAACAGATTCAACTCTTTTTTTTATCAGAGGAGCCACTTTCCTCTGCATTTATAGAGAAGCCCAAGTTTCCTTGGCAACACAAAGATTTCTAATAATCTTTAAGAACACCTAAATCTAATTGTAATAATGTCTTGCTGCTACATATCCTTGAAAATATAGTTAATTTTTTAGTTTTAAAACTTTTAGATTATAACACTTACCTCACCAATATACTGTATATGGTTCTAACATACATTATTTAGTGTTAGACCATATACACCTAATACATTTTTAGGTAACTTCCTCAAGATCAGCCACCCAATCTTTTGATTCAAATTTTTTTTTTATTATTTAAATTATTTATTGTTACCTGTGGGAAAAACTCTAGTTTGACTAATAATAGAAAAAAATATGAAAATAGAAAGGAGAAATAGTAAACAAACATAAATAACATGGAAACAGATACTACTAACAGAAATGACTGTTATGAAAATGAAAAGTTCTGGTAAAAGGATAATTATATAGGGGCATGACACACTAGAATGGGTTGCAAAAGAGAAAGGAAGTAAAATAGAGAAAATATACGGAGATAAATAAGACTTAGAACACCATCAGACCATACTGTTAAAGAGGTTGCTACTGGTACATATGTCAACCCGGTAGATCTACAGTAAATCTAGGACCTGAGACTTAGATCTGGTCTAAGAATCAATAAAACAACTTAAATATAATTAATCTAACATTTTTTGGCAGAATGCTAAAAAGGGACATTTCTGTGAAAAGGGAAAAAATCCCAAATCCTAAATCTTAAATCCCAAGTGAAAACATTACACAATTGTTTTGCTTATGTATGTATGATGTCTACCTGCAATGAAGATCTCAATAACAGGTTGCAAAATATACTTGAGGACAAACAAATAGATAACTTTATTTTTAAATTGAACATGCTTTGGTGCCTATATACAGCAAAACATAATTGTGATATTTCAGAGTTTAACTTCGTAGAAACATATCTGTTTAGAGATGTGTAAATTCTTTGTCTTTCAATTAAGTATAACAATTGGACTCAGCACTCAGTTATTGTTTGAGAAATATAAAAAGCTGTCACATAACATAACAGAAGAACAAAACTGCAAATCAGAAAATTCAAGCTCTTGGTTATCACTTGACCTGCTAACTGAAAGTAACTACAGTAACTGAAACAAGCAGTGGTCATGGCTTTGACAACAGAGCTGGATAAGCTGTTTCTGGCTTCCACAAAGCATTGTAGCTTTTCTTCAATAATTTTGTAAATTAGAGTGGACAATGGCACAATTTTGAACTGTCTTTAATGGATTGCCACTTTTTAGATTATCTACAATACTGTGTGTTAAGGTACGTGGATCATACATGCTTTTATCTTCACCCCAATACTCTGGGGATCATTGGAACTGAGACCAGGTGTAACACATTTATATTAAAACTTAACAAGTCAAGTGATATGCACTGATTCTTAAGAATCCAATACATTATATCATGGCCTTTTTTACATTGTGTCCTTGTGTCCCTTTGGAATTAAGTACATTTCTAATTGGCAACATAAAATGTTATGAGATGTGTGGATGTAATTGTTTGAAATCAGAAATATAAAGACAGTATTCAGTGTGCATTTCACTGGTACACATCCATGACCGTCTCATTAATAAAATACAATGCAATTATAAACTTATACTGTATATTTCTTATTTTATTCAACAGACTTATATGGAAAAGAAAACTGTGACTATATCAAGGACCCTACAGGGCCATTTGCTAAGTGCCATGATTATGTGCAGTATGACAGCTATATCAGGGTAAGTGTTTGTTCTTTTTAATTGCACTCTTTTAAGAAAATGAACTATCCTAACATGTAAACAAGGTATATTAAACAAGAAATATTACAATTCAAGGATCCAGTAAGTCACTGTACCTTTCTTCCAGAAGCCTAAAAGGAATAGAGGTGAATGCATCAGCATTCGCCCACAAAGGTCTCAAAGTCACTGAAACATGAGAAACAGAAGATATTGGTGAAGAATACATTATAAGGTGTAAAGCTTTCTAAGACAACAGGCTAGATAAAAGTGGAAGAGTATCACTAGTCAAAACTACGGTACATCACAATTTAATTTAGATAAATGTTTTTCCATATCAATATACTTACGACCTGTGGAAAAAAAAATGCATTAATTAAAGCACGCTACAAACGATCAAATTCACGTCATTAAGAATGCAGTCTTATTCAATCATGTTAACAATGTATGATAAAAAGAATAAACGGTCATCATTTGAGACACACCCCAAATACTTTAGATTGAGGAAAACTAGAGCCAATGATTTTATTGATCTTGTCTTTTAAAATAACTGTGATAAGAACAAGAAAAAGCAATAAAGTTTACAAGAGAGGTGACCATTAAACACATCTAACTTGTTTGGTGGCTAGTGACTAATTGATTCAGAGATCTTGTCCTCTTTATCAATGATTTGAAGATTCTGAATATTTTAATCAGGTCCCCAAGTACTGTTTGTTACTAAAAAGATTCAGTTCTTTTTTTTTCTTCTGTGACTGTAAGATCTTCCTTTAAACCTGGTACTGTAACTAGTGACTTGTTTCTGGACTTTTATACAGTAATGTGATCGTCATATTCTAAATTACTCCAAATGAGGTCTTAGCAGTGCATTTTGTAAATGTAATGTATGTTACGTAAATTAGAGAATACTAGGAAACTGACCAAGCAGATAAATCAGTAAGTAAATTCTTAATCATAACCCCAACTTGTTAATATTTCTGCATATGTTTTCTTTGTTCTCTGGCACAACTTTGGTGAAAAAAACAATAATTTAAAACATTTATTGAAAGTGACAATACACACACTACACACAACATAAACAAACAACACACAAGTTTCCCTATGTATAGTAAAAGTTTACAGACAAGGCATCCCAGAGGCCTAATGTCCAAACCATGAAGAAAAATCCCATACTCTTACCAAGTATTCAATTCTTAATGCCTACAGTGGCCAAAAGAAAAGATAAGCTGCATTCTAAACTACACATAATAAAACATACAGTTTAAACTCTCTGTCTGCAAACCCAGATGTCACAAAATGGGAACCTGTCTCCCTATTTAAAAATGTACCCCCTAATAAGGAGACAGATTCTTCTCTCAAGAAATCCTAGTTCCTTACCTAACTACAGAATAGCAAGTTCTCTTAGCAACAGTTTTATGGAACAAAGCAAAGTAGTATACATTAAAAGATCAAAAATGTAATTCTACGACATAAGCCATTAACAAAGGATATGGATCATTTGTTTTTCAGACCTGTGAAGAAAGTGTGTGTCAGTGTGCTGAAAATGTTCAAGATTGCTTGTGTACTGCTCTTGGTAACTATGCCAAAGCCTGTGCTGCCCAGGGAATAATTGTGCAAGACTGGAGAAAGGATGATTGCAGTATGTTCAATTCTTTGTTATTAATTTTATTGGATATATATTGGATATAACCCGATTCATACCATAACAAGGATTGATTACCATTAAAAATCACCTATTACTGGGATGCATAAAATCATGATTGTTAATTAACTTATTTGATATGGAGCCAGTCATCATCTTATATATTACTGTATATCTCTTGTGTCTGTATTACTGAATCATGAGATCCAACTATGTAAAAATAAATTTGTTTGATTAATATTTCATTTATTTTTACAGATACAGTATTCTGGATTTCATAGATTAGTAATGTTTTGGTCACTGTCACCTACTTTCTAACAAGTGGATTGGTTTAATTACTTGTACATTCATTATACTTTTCTGCTGTACCAAAATGTTATTGTTTAATATTTCAGTTGTGTCATGTCCCAAGAACCAGAAATTTGAATACATCATGACGCCCTGCAATCGTACCTGCCGCTCCCTCTCTGTGTACGACTTTACGTGTGAAATGGAAGACGGCCCTGTGGAGGGGTGTGGATGTTCAGAAGGCTCCCACATGGACGATGAACAGACCTGTACATCAACATTTCAATGTCCGTGTTACCATGGAAATGACATTTATAAGCGGGGGACATTTGATATCGCTGGATATCAATCCTGGTGAGTCTCTTCACAGGGAGAGAAAGTCAGATTTTAAACTGTTGTTGCATTCCTAAAGAGACCATAATTATTTCTTTGTTGATATGTTGATGAAATATTTGATAGTTCAAATCCAGACTTCTACTTTACTATATTGTTTTACTACACATACAGATACAAGAGCGTCAGATTTTTATAATGCAAGAAAATAATATTTATAATTAAACAGAATATAAGTCTTTGATATACAATATTGTAAAAACTACAAATTTAAGCTTTATTTCGATCATTAATGTCAGCCACCCATTCTTTCACCTTGTTGTTTTGGTCTAAATCTTTTTCCTAAGACTTTAGATTTGTGCTTTAAAGGGATTTTGCAATACCATGTACAGTAATTGTGATCTACCCTATCATAATAATATATAGTGAACATGAAAACATGCTTGTATTTTGCAAGAATTAATATACTGTATATGTCAGTATTTTGTTAAGATTTGTTATGTATTTGCATGCTAATGCAAGTAACAATCAAGTGTTAATTTAATGTATTTATTTATTTCAGCAATTGTGAAGATGGGAGACTTAAATGTAATCAAAAACAAAGTAAGACGTATTATAAGCTAAAATAAGATTACTGCCCAGTGATTTAAGTAAATAATAAACATTATCCATCCATTTTCTAACCATTTTATCCAGGATTTGGTCACAGGGGAGCTGGAGCTTCACTCACAAACACACGTGTGGGATACTCCCTGGATAGCATTACAGTCCATCACAGGGCACACACAAACACACAAAAGCTCATACTAGGGCCAGTTTTTCCCAGAAGCCAATTAACCAGCATGCATTTGGACTGTGGGAGGAAACCGGAGCACCCGGAAGAAAACCAGGCAAACAGAGGGAAAACATACAAACATGCAGATAGCATCATAGAAATTGAACCCACAGCCCCAGTGCTTCAAGGCCGCAATGCACCACCATGCCATTCCACAATTAAACTTCATATAATGTCAAATCAAATCATATTGCATCTTCTTGTATTATATCATATAATTATTTTTATATGTATCACTTGATAACCATTGGTTTTATTCATAAAAGACCAGAGCATTATTGTTTAAATTTAGTACATTGTCTACTTGATAATCAATCTATATTCCTGGATTTGGTTGAGCAGATTTCCTTTGATGCTCAGATAAAATGATTGTCATAAAAACTATTTAAAAAGATAATCCTTTTTTCTATGCAGTTATTACAACTTGTAAAAATAAGTAAAATAATACAATCAAACCTCAACTAAGCCACAAACTAATTTAATTTAAAAAAATGTCCAACTTGTTTGTGAGAATATTATCCTCTCTTCTTGGACTTGTCCCCTTTATCTACTGTACATAATTTCTAATTTTTTGGCATTTAACTACTTATGCTTTGGCAATTGTAGCAATATTCACTCGTTCATTTTTTTATTTGCATTCCTCAACAGAAGCGTACTCTGTTTTAAATATACACATATCAGAGGTCTTAATGTTAATTTAAAATTCCTATCCATAAAAAATGGATATTAGAAGATGGATGGATTTCAAAATTAATTAATTGTAATGCTGTCGATATGCTTTTGTCATTTTAATTATTGTTATTACAATGTAGTAATTTTATTAACAATATAGTAACTTACAAACATTAAGACCCTTGAATTTAATAATTTATTCAAAACCTGAATCCTCAAAATGAAGGCTTCTAAAGGTAAGATACATTAAGTACAATAAGTTAAAAGAAATCTCCCATGATGATTTCATTAAAAACTGAGAGGAGATCTCCTCCTCATGAGATGCATATGGCAAGTGTTCCATGTTCACATGGTGAATAACAGAGAGACCTGGAGGTGTGTGATTGAAAGAAATATCCTCCTTGATCTGAACCCAAGCAGTAAGTTGTTATTGGACTTCTGTGCTGGTCATGGACTGTCCATGACAAACACCATGTTCCAACACAAGATTGCACATAAGTCTATCAGAGCATCTTGGACCGTAGGACATTTTACTTTGTAGTTGTGTCATTAAGGTTATGTGCTCTGGACACTCAGGTAAAAAGAGGAGCAGAACTAATTGCCACTTCATTCGGAGTTGGGTCAGACAGACAGGGTGTCAGTTAAGCCTATTCTGTAGGCCCAAACTACAGAACAGCTGAAAGACATCTCCATGTGAGATTATTTTAGTCCCAACCTCCAGAAGAGCTTCTCCTCTGTCCTGAGGGAGGACAATGAGCCCAAATGTCCCTTTGCTGAAGACTGGAGGCATTGAAGCATCTGCAAGGAGCTGTGACCAGAAGGTGGTCAGTGGGAACCCTAGTGCCCACTAGTGGACATCCCGCGATGAGGGAAGCCATCAAGAAGGCTTCTGAACATGGCTTGCGGTGGGAAGAGTCTCTGCATTTGTTTGAGAGGTATAGGCAGGCCAAGGGAGCTGCAGCTGCTGCAATTGCTGAAGTGAAGACCCACTTATGGGAGGAGCTTGGAGTAGGCATGAGGAATATCTGTCTGATGGTATTACAATACTG